TCTATTTGTACCAAATATGGCTTGTAATCTCGTTTCTGTTAGTAAACTCTCCACAGACTTACTCTGCTCCGTAATTTTTAATGATATTGATTGTACTTTGCAGGCACTGATCTCAAAGAAAATGATTGGTACGGCCAGCTTGCAGAATGGTCTCTACATCCTCTTTTCCTCTCCTAAATCCAAGATCTCCAAATCTTTCACCGCTTTAGGAAAAGTTGATATTGTTATGTTATGGCACTTTTTTTAGGCTATCATAGTTTCCAATACCTTACAAAATTGTTTCCTGCTCTATTCATTAATAAAAGGCCAAATTCTTTTTCTTGCAAAGTTTGTTCTCTTGCCAAACATACTAAATCATCTTATTTTTTTCTACATACAAGTTTTCTCACCTTTTTGCTTTGATCCACAGTGATATTTAGGGCCCTTCTCGAGTGAAGAATGTTGATAATTGTAAGTGGTTTATCAATTTCATTGATGATCACAGTAAGATAACTTGGACTTATTTGTTGAAAGATAAATCTGAAACTATTGGTGTTTTTGTCCAATTTTATAACATGGTTCTCACTCAATTTGGGTATAAAATCCAGCTCTTTAAATATGATAATGACAGTGAATTTTTTGCTAGGAATTTAGGCATTTTTTAAGGAAAAAGAGCATAATTCAACTTAGTTTTTGTATTGGAACCCCACAGCAAAACAACATTGTCGAAAGAAAAAATAGGCACCTCATTGAAGTTGCTCTTTCTCTTCTATTTACCTTTAATGTTTCCAAATATTTGTGGGGGAAACCTTATTAACTTCCACATATTTAATCAACCAAATGCCTAGTAAGGTTTAACAATTTCAAACACCTTAATCTACATTTTTGCAACACTTTCCCCATTTTAAACCAATCTCCTTCATTTTTTCACTTAAAATCTTTGGCTATATTTTTTTATCCAAAACATTGCTCCTAATAAGTCCAAGTTAGATCCTAAGTCTTTAAAATGTGTATTGGTTGGGTATTCTTCACTTAAGAAGGGTTATAAATATTATCATTATCATTCTAAACGATTTTTTACCACTATGTATATAACATTTTATGAGCATGATCCCTATTTCACTCATGCTAAAATTCAGGGGGAGACATGGAGGGATTTTCAACCACATCAGATATCTCCTTCTAATCTTCATTCTCAACCTTCATAATTTCCACCTTTTTTTCCTTTACCTACAGATTTGTCACCCGTGATTGCTCCCATTGATTCTCATGTAATACCTATCACTAATTCACCCACACCTATTTTAAACACCCTTCTTGAAAATACACCTACTCCCATTGAAAGTCTTCCAAAAACAACACCACCCAAACAACTTTGTGTCTACACAAGGAAAAATCCCTAAGGTTGTTTTACAATCTAATTTTTACCGAGAATTGGATTTGGGTCCAACTGCTGAAATAAAAGAAGAAATCAGTAAGTCTACTTCTCATACTATAGATGACTTCCTTATTGCTACTAGAAAATGGGTTAGACAATATACTAAACATCCTATTGGAAAATTTGTTGGTTATAATTTATTGATGCCTTCTTTTCAAGCATTTACAACAACCTTGGATAAAGAACATGTTCCCACAAGCATAGTTGAAGCTCTAAAGGATCGAAAATGGAGATGGAATGTTGAAGAGAAAATTTGTGCACTAGAGAAAAATACTACTTGGACAGTTACAGACCTTCCTCAAGGAAAAAAGGTTGTTGGTTGTAAATCGATCTTTTTTGTAAAGTAAAACTCCAATGGTAATATCCAACGATACAAAGCTAGACTGTTGGCCAGAGGCTTTACGCAAACATATGATATAGCTTTCACAAAAAAACTTTTGCATATTTGGCAAAGCTTAACACTGTTCGAGTACTCCTAAGTTTGCCTGTAAAATGCGATTGGCAATTACACTAACTTGATGTAAAAAACTGCATTTTTAATGGCAAGCTAGAGGAAGAATTCTATATAAAATTGCCACATGGCTTAAAGTCTGTTGAAGGTAGCAACAAGGTTTGCAAGCTCAATAAGACTCTATACGGGTTAAAACAATTACCCAGAGCTTGGTTTGAGAGGTTCACTAAAGTCATTCTTAAAAATGGCTACAAGCAGTCCCTCGCCGATCATACTCTTTTCATTAAGGTAACTTCTACAAATAAGAAATCTATCCTGATTGTGTACGTGGATGACATAATTCTTACTGGAGATTATGAGGAAAATAATAGAAATTTGAAGAAGTTGTTAAATAGGAAATTCGAAATCAATGACTTGGGAAAGCTAAGGTATTTCCTAGGAATGGAGGTGACAAGATCAAAAGAATGACTTGTGATCAACCAAAGAAAGTATGTACTTGATTTACTCAAAGAAACTGGTTTTCTTGGTTATAAGCCGACTGATACACCAATGGAGGCAAACTTGAGATTCAACAAAGAATATGGGTCCTTAGTAGATAGAGAAATTTCAAAGATTAGTTGGGAAACTAATTAACTTATCATTGACAAGTCCAAATATAACATTTCCCGTAAATGTAATAAGCCAACACATGACTAATCCTACTGAAGAGCATATGATAGCAACAAATAGAATTCTCAAGCACTTGAAGAAAAATCAAGGACACGACTTATTGTTTAAAAAGACACAAGACATAATTGTTAAGATTTTTACAGACTTTAGTTAGGCTGAAGATCCACTAGTGGCTACTGCACTTTTGCTTGGGGTAACCTTACAACTTGGAGAAGTAAGAAACAATATGTCGTTTCAAGAAGTAGTGCTTAAGCTGAATTTAGAGCACTAGCATTGGGAATATGCGAAGGAATTTAACTACTTAAACTATTAAAAGAACTTGGCACTAACCAGAAGGATCACTTTGAAGTTTTGTGTGATAATAATCTACATTCAGATTGTCAAGAACCCACTTCAACATGACCGAACAAAGCATGTTGAGGTTGTTAGGCATTTTATTGTTGATCAATTCAATAACAACAAAAAACACCCTTTCATACATTCCTTCAGAAGGACATATTGCAGACATTCTTACTAAGGTTTTGTCAAAGCTTGTTTTCAATAAATTCCTATTCAAGTTAGGATTATAAAATGTATATTCTCTAGCTTGAGGGGGAGTGTAGGAATTATAGAAACATATGAGTTGTTACCATCCCTTCAGTTAAGGGATTCTGTAAATATTTTTTTTTACAATCCCTTGTTTTAAGGGATCATATCTCCTAGGATTAGTATATTTCCTAACTTAGAGTTTCCTAATTTAGAGATATAATTTGTATATATATAAATATGCAATATGTTCTATTGAATTAATAAGAAAATACATAGAATTACTCTCATTTCTATAGTTTTCCAAGCAGCTAAGGGTGCTTTCAGAGTCCATCGACTATTAAATATTACAAAATGATCCTCCGACTATAGAGCATCGCTTTGTTGAGTTCCTCAACTATTAAAAGTAACAAAATGGTCACTCGATTATTAATTATGGTCAAAACTTGTACTTTTTTCGTTAAAAATGGATGATTTTTTGAGCTAAACGTCAACTTGTTGATTATGATATGATAAATCTAATCATAGAATCTCAAATGACCAACATATCCTAGTCATCATGTTAACGTCTAACTTAAACAACCGTCAATTTTTTAATAGAAATTGATTAGTTTGGAACATAATAAATAGTCAGGTAACTATTTTGTAACTTTTAATAGTCAAGGGACTTAACAAAGCAACATTCCATAGTCAGATGATCATTTTGTAACTTTTAATAGTTGAGGGACTTAATAAAGCAATAATCTATTGTCAGGGGACTATTTATGTATTTTACCCTATTTTTTAATTCATTATTATATATGTCTATGTCTTATGGTGGAATGAAGGTGTATTATTAAGCAGTTTAATAGATTTCATTTGATTCTATATGCATCTTTGGTAAATAATATCTAATTCATCCTATCACAATATAGTATTGATCTTTTTGGAATATATGTATATCCATTTAAAATTTACTTGTACTTCAATTAATAACTTTGAAAGTATGTATTTGTAAAAAAGAATAATACTTATTATAATTTTTAATTTCAATCACAGTTCAAGTTAAATACTAATTTAATTAAAATATAATAATAATAATAATATATTTTTTAATTTAATAATTAGGTATTATATATTTTACAAAAAAATTATCCTTCAAAAATTGATGATATATATAACTAAAATGAAAAAAATATAACATTAATAACAATTTTATAAAAAATAATTTAACAATCAAAGTGAAAAAATATAATAAGTTAACGGCTAGTAATATAAGATACTCCAAGTTAAGAAGGTTAAAATGGGATTAAAAGTTTAATTTTGCATTTCATATACAGTATTTTCGAAATATTAATAAATTATTTCATGTATAAAAAATATTAAACTATACCTAGGGATACGGGTCGGATTATTGGTCCACCCGACCCGACCCGAAAATTATAAATCTAGCATCCAACCTAAAGAATATACACCTTTCATCCAACTTAAATCTAACACGATTTTTTTAAATAAAATTCGAATCCGACCTTATCCGAACAGAAATAATATATTTGTTAAAAATTATTATTTTTATTCAATAAAAATAAAAATTTAATTAAAATAAAAATAATATAAAAAAATATTATTATAATTATCTCGATTCTACGTTTTCTAAAATAATCTAATTCAATTAAGTCAGATTGTATTGAAACCATAGAGTGCGGATCTCATGCCTATTCCCAGTTACACCCGTACGAAATAAAGTTAATGAACCGAAAGAAAAAGGAGTTCATAAAACGACACAGAACAAGGACTCCATCGCACCGTCCAGAGAGCTACTGCATCATCACTCTCTGTTACATGTTTTATTTATTTTTTTCTTGTCTTAACATCAAACAAACCACATTTGCTTTGCATTTGATCCCTCTCTCTGTCTCTCTCAGTCACACTTTTTCATATACATAAACTTATCAGACCCAAACACCGCCATTCTCACCTCAACGCTTATTTTCTGCTTTTTGTTCCCATCAGCCATGGCTGCTGCTTTACTGCTTTCAGTGCTCTTTCTTGCCATGACTGGCCACTCAAGTAAGCTCTCGAGTTGCTTTCTTTTCGAGAACTCAGTTTAGATTTGACATTTTCTCTTAAAGAAATGACCATATTTGATATGGAAAAGAGCTTAAATCTGTGTTCTTTTTGGGTTATTTTTTTGCAGGTGCCACATGGTGTGTGTGCAAAGATGGTGTGGGTGAAGCGAACTTGCAGAAGGCACTGGATTATGCTTGTGGAAACGGTGCGGACTGCAACCCGATCCATTCAAATGGACCCTGCTTTAACCCCAGCACTGTTAAAGCACATTGCAGTTATGCCGTCAACAGCTATTTCCAAAGAAAAGGCCAAGCTCAAGGCTCCTGTGATTTTGCTGGCACTGCTGCTGTTTCTTCAACTGACCCTAGTAATGTCTACTCTTTTAATTTAAAATTTTGAAAACGATGGGGAACAAAAAGTCACATTTACCCTTTTGTTTTTGGGTTTTTGGTGATTTACAGGCTCTGCTGGCTGTTCTTACCCCTCCAGCGCCAGTGCCAGGTATGCAGTAAATTTCTGTTTTTTTTACCCTTCTTTTAAACTGCTCATTTTCCATATATACTAAGGTCATTAGATGCATTATTTTAGGGTTTTGAGATGAAAAGAAATAAGCTTCTCTAGGTAGAGGGTAATGCCCCGAAATAGTTAGGTTTAATTCTATTTCTAGCTGGTTTAACTGTGGTAAGAATTATTGTGCCACGGCTCATGATATGTTTATTTATGTATTGTTGGTCTACATGCTAATGTTCTAAACTTTTTATCAAAGCTGGACCAACTAGTTGAGGGAAAAAGTTTTTGAATCCTTTAAATTTATAATTTTTATCAATTTAACTTTTAACTTTTATTTTACACTTTTAAACCCAACTTTTATTTAATGTTAAGTATGCTAGAAGTCAACAATCTTTTACAAATAAAAGAGAACTAAGATTTGAATTTTAGAGATGAAGATATTTATTAATTTTAAAAAAATAATATCTATACACAATAAAATAAACATAAAATATAATTTATAAAAAAATCCATACCTGTTACCAAGTCTGGTATGTGCATTTTGCCACCTGAATAATTTATCTGAAAAAAAGAACAATAATGATATTATTTGTTGAGTTCTTGTTTAGTGACATGGGATTAAGATGATGCCTTTTATGCAAATAATGCATACCCATTTTTTTATACTATTACGAGGATGAATAAAAAAAATAGTCTAATATAAAGTTAAGAAAAAATATTATTAAAAATATTTTTTTTAATATTTCTTGTATATTGTTATCTAAAATATTAATTTTTTTTATCGAAAATATTAATATTAAAAATATTTATTTTAGATAATGAAATTAATATTTTTGATAAAAAAATAATATTTTAAATATCATTCTATAAAAAATATTAAAAAAATATTAATATTTTTAATAACATCAATCTTATATTAGATGTACAACCTACTATTATGTCACGTTTATACTTGATAATTGCATCTTGTTTTACATTAGTTTAATCATTTGTTTTTGAAAGAAAAAAAAAATCTCATCACCGATTAATTTGTGGTGGGGCAGTCTTTTTAGGATTTATAGTACCCCTTTGAAAGGGACAAATGTTTGCATTGAGATTAGAGCCTTTTTTTTTTTTTTTGAGATTTGTGATGCCTTGAAAATTGTGCACATGTTGTCCTACAACATAGGTGACTTACCCCAAGTTTATGGGGGCACCCCTTCTGCTATTTACTCTGTTGTGCTTTCATTTACAGGCTTTAAAATTCTAAATTGTAACCATGGTAAATGGTAAAAAGAAATTACAAATTTTTGTGTGCTAAACTTTTATTTACGTGTTTGAATATATTTGGATAATCATTAAATTAAGATCGAATATTAAAAAAATAAATTATTTTATATTAAAATAGTATAGATTTAATAAATATTAAAATCTGATCTGGATAACACATGTTTAGTATCCTCGTTTGTAGACATTAGACACATGCACTACATTATATGTTTGTGATCTGATTTATTGCTTTTCGGACTCGTGCGTTTTCATTATCGGATCAGTAGCACCGGCACCTCCACAACACCAACAACTCCGGTTACAACGACAAATCCATCAACCACCGCACCCACAAACATGAATCCGGGCACAAATACCCAAACAGGCACAACACCATACGGCTCAACAACGCCGACAGGAGTGTTAGGGGGAGTCGGCACCGGCTTAGGCCCATCCGGAACCAGCACGACCAACACGGATTACAGCCACGGAGGGCTCCGGCTTCAAGCCATTTCTTCCCTCACAACCTTCGTGTTTTCAGGCTTGATGCTGTTGTGGGGTTGACTGACAGCAAAAAAAACCTATGTGATGTTTATCGAAGGACATGTTAAGGCTATCTAAGTTTTTTCTTTTCTTTTTTACTATGTGTTTATTACGAATATGTTTATTTTTTATGTGATTTTGGTGTCTTTAGATAGTCACGATCCTATATCTATATTTATATTTATATTTAGATATATGTTGAATATAAATATTTAAAAAAATGAGTTATAATTTCATCTGATTTATATTTCGATATACTTTAAATATGAATATTTAAAGAAAAATAAGTTATAAACTGACTCGACTGGTAAACAATGAAACAATCATTATGTATTTAAATAAAAATTTGTTGAAAAATTAAAATGATAATTTATATTTTAGTCCAAATAATTTTAGTTTATACGATAATGTTAATCGTTCTTGAGATCATGGGCAGTGTAGTGTTATGACACCCCAATTTTTTTAAATATAATTCAATAAAAATTTAATATAAAAATTTTTAAAAATAAAATTAACGCATTTTAGAAGAATATTAATGTTAACACCCTCTTAGAAATATATTTAATTTAGTTAATAATTTTAAATTTTTCTGATTTTTCTTAGCTTAAAATGAATTAATTTGATTAGCATATATATAAAATCGTGTGTATATAGAAAATAAGAAAACATATCTAAACACGTGTTATTTCAGTTTAAATAATAATATCAATCCAATTAATTAATAATAATAATAATAATAATAATAGGATCGTTCAAAATACTATGTTACTAACATCCTAATTCCTAGCTTCCACCGTCTCTTCCACTGGGTTTCTTCATTTTTTCTTCCATTTTCTCTCGTTCCGGCTTTGTAGGAGCACAAAACTTTCTTGCTTATTTTCTTTCTCGAGAAAATCTCACCACCGTTTTCTTTCTGAGCTATTTACAAAGCCAAAAAAGTTAAAAATCCGACAGAAGAATATATATTGTAGTGAGACCCGCCGCCAATTGTTTTGCCCACAGACTCACCACGAGTTAAATGGGACAATCAGGAGATACTCAGTCGGTAAAATGCTCTCTTTCAACGACCTTGAAACTTTCTATTTATGTTCTTTTTCCCTCTTAACTTTTCCCCCTTTTCTTAAACACTGTTGGTTTCGTTAATGTATTTCTCGTTGTTATTATAGCACCATTAGTACTAAAAGACAACGTTGATCATGCTGAAAACGATTGCTTGATGCCATGAAAATGGGGGTTTTTTACTTACTTTTTACTCTGTTGCAGTTAACTGTCGAATTATAATTGTTTGGTAGCTACATAAATGCACTTCCTTTAATGAAATAATAAACATTGATGTTACAATATCTAGTGCTTGTGCAAGGGGTCCATGGTTATTTGATTGTTTTATATGCTTGTAATGGAAGTTTTCTTGATGAAACTTCATTTTAATTGCACTGATTATTAGTTGCTTGTTATTAAATGGACAATGATATCCAGAAATTCTTATAGGGCGTTTACTTGTTTCAACAGGACAAGCGTTGCGACATATGTGGTGATGTTGGCTATGAGGAGCTATTTAATACCTGTTCTCAATGCAACATAAGACGACATTTGTAAGATTGTGATTGGTTAATTTTAAGGCTTCGCTTGTGTGTATGATGGAAATGAATAGGGGAGAAAGCTTGTTTTAATATAATAGTTAAGTGATATAGTAGGAAAATTGCTATGAAACCTACCAACTGCAGTAAAATATTTTCGATCTTCCAAACAAGTGGAGCCTATGTTTTTAATGTACCTTGTGATGTCTTTTGTATGATAACCATGGATTTTTCTGAGGGCATTTACCTGGGTGTGACTGGGAGGATCGAAACAGATAAAGAAGAAATACATGTTTTATTCTAATAATTAGGTGATAAAGTACAAAAACTTGCATTGGAACCTACCAAATAGAGTAAAATACTTTCCATCCTTCGAAACTAGCAAAGCCTTGTATGTGCGATATGCTGCTAATTTCCTTTTTTGTTTTGATATGAATGTTCATGATTGTCTGGTTTCCATTGCCCATTTTTTATCAATTAAATGAAGAATCTGTTGCATAGTATTTCTTGTTTGATGTTGAAAGGATTAACAACTATCACCCTTAGTTACTTACTTGAACTAGAATAATAACATCTTATCTAATTGTTTCATTTGTAGCTATACATTATGTTTATTCAACCTTCAATTCTAAATACGATATTTTTCCCTTTTTGGAAGCTATTGCATGACGACCTTAGTGAGGAACAAGATAGAAGACTGGAGATGTGAACTATGTCTTTCGAAGAATGATATAGATTCTCTAAACTCTGACCGGACAGAAAATGGTTTGGTTTCTTCTAAGAAAGTTTGTTTCAACTTGGGGAGACGGGTTGCATGTAAAAGGAAAAAAGCTGTTGAAACTGGGAAAGTGAAATTTCTTCCTACAGAGGAAGTTATTAAGCTGTCTTCTGGCATACCAAAAAACCTCATTTCCTTCAAATAGCCACTCTGGGTCAAAACCTGTACCAGTGAACTTCACTCCATCTCCATCCAAGAAGCCATTCATGGGATCCAAAAAGGCCGGCCCTTGGTTTAACCCGATAAAGGAGAGAAGAAATCCTACTTTTCGATCTGTGAATGCTGGGTGTTGTGGTGCGCAGATCACTCCAGCAAGTTGTCAGCATGTGGTCCGAACATCAAACAAGCTAAAAGGTGATAAATTTTTTTGTTTTTGCACAAATTTTGTGTCTTGAGAATGTTGAAAGATGTAACAAAAGGAGTTCCTAATGGCGTATTTATATCATTTAGCCTTTAATTTTACTGTTCTTTCAAGCAGTTGGAGTAAGTACTTCTGGAAACAAGATAAAAACTGTGACCCAGTAGGTTTAACTCGAGTTGGTTAGTGTTAATCATGATATATCTTAAGCTCTTGCAGGAGTTAGTATGACATGATTTCAAGTTTATGTTATGCTTTATAATGCCTATTGTCTTAAATCAAGGTTGTCTATTATCCTAAAGTTTCAGTCTTAGACAAAAAATATAGGTTTTCTTTTCCCGGTTGGGGAAAGGAGAAAATGATGCTCTTGAACTTTGTGAGTAATAGTTGCTTCTGTGTTCCACAGCAGAAGATGATGAGAAGGCTCCTCGGACACTTGCAAAGAAATACAGTACTAATGAAGACACGGTATCTTCTGTTATGGCTGCTAAAGAAGTCAAAAGTAATGTTGATGTTAAAGCAATGATCAAAATGAGAGAGACATTTTCTGTACCTGCAACTTCAACACTTTGTTCGCCTATTGTCAATACAGGCAAGATTTTTTTCTCAAATGATATCATTTTGTCATGTTTTTCCTTGAATTAAAACAAAAAACTTTGTTTTGGAGATGTTTGATTGTTTGAAAGGTGAAAATCTTTTGTTCCAAACTTCTCTGATAGATGTGTCTTATACAATTATGATCTTATGTATTATATCTATGACCTTGTATATAACATTCGAATATTATAACTCAATTTGAGTGTTAGACCCTTTTACGTGATGATATTTCCGGTCTTAGTGAATGACTGAGCTCTAGGTTTCAATTTGTATGGTGCTACATGATCACAAGTACCGAATTTTCAAGTTCAACAGTGTTCAATATTGGCTTTTTAAAGCTACTGTTGCTGTATCCTTATACTTGTTTATTTGCAGTCTTTAGCCACTTGATTGATATTGTAGTCTTAGATTCTGGTGGCAAATATCTGCTCTTATTGTATATTATTTTTTTTCAGTAGAAACTGCCCATGTTGCTCCCAACAAAGAAAATGTCCGCAAAGGGATGATATCAGATACCATCCTACCCGATAAAGAGCTCACACATCTTCATTCTAAGACTGAGGACCCTGTAAGGGCAACCCAACATTTACCATCAAAGCATCATACAACTACTATAAATGCAGGCAAGCTAATTCTAAATTTAACTTTCCGGATTTTGTGGTATTTATTATCCAATTTTTTTAACTTGTTCAAATTGCGGTGGTGATATTGATTATATTGAATCTTTTTCTAGCTGATCAATGTGTTATGTTTTCTTTAAATAAATTCCTTCTCAGGTCAAAACTTTCATAATGTTGCTGAACCTGAGAACCCTGATGTCCCAAAAACAGAAATCTGGAACCGACTTAAGGTTTCCTTATATAGACCGCATGCTCCTTCTTTATATGCTACCTGGATGTAAGTAAGCATGCCGTTGCATGATAGCGCACGCACTAGTTCACTACATTCTTTCTTATTACAAAATTGTATACTTGTTGAAATGTGTCTAGATAATTCTTCAAATAATAGAAAAATGGCATGGATTTCTTGAGGATTTGAAACTTGAGGTAGATTAACAAGCTTTCATCATTGTCAATTACGTTGTTGTCCTTGGTATGTTCGAGTCTTGTCTATATATATGACATGAAAATCAGTTTCAGTTTACCTATTTTGCTTGAAACTATGTGTCTCAGATGGAATTGTCGGATATGTTTTTGAGTTTTTCCATGTATATGGAGGGGTCTTGAGGGTCATATCCTCATATATGTGTTCAAAATGTGTTAAACTTGGGTGCCTAAAGAAAAATGAAAAATGGGGATAACATAAGCCTGAAAATTTCACGAGGCCTTAAAGCATGCAATTTGCATTTAGGTTGGCATTCATTGCTTCTTTCAGTATGTTTACTTTATATCACAGTATTGATTTTCTCCCACCTCTTTTAGGGGAGGTTTCAAATTTCCCAATACCACTGCCCCAGGTGAATATTTCGGTGGTTTCCAGGCTCGACCGCCTTGCAGAGTCCACCGTAAAGCATACGAGCTTTCAAAGAAAATGCCCCCAGTTCTTCAGGTTGATCTGCTTCAACAGTGTCACCTTCAGGCTGATATATTGCAGAATGGTTGTTTAGATCTTTTTGACATTGCTTTATACTTTTTTCCAGCGGATTACATGGAAAGGTTTGCTTCAACATGTAAAATTATGGATTAAATTCATTTGCAGTTTCAATTTTCAACTCATGTTACTTCAATGTCTTCTTTGAAATGCAGTTCTCGAGAGAATTACAATAAACTATTTGAGCTCATGGGAATGGAAAATTCAGTGATGATAAGTTACATTGAAGATATGGAGTTGTTGATATTTACTTCTAAACAGTTGCATGGAGATTCACGGGGTAAGTCTAGTTTTTTGTCAGCTTCCCTTCAAACCAATTTATTAGACACTACTCGGGACTTGGGTGTGAGTGTTGGACATGAGAACATGTCTAGAACGGGAAAGTGTAATTCTTTTAAGTTTTTCCATGTATTTGGAGTGTTCCTGGAGGATCATATCCTCATGTCCAAGCACATGTATTAGGGTTATTTCCTATGTTGCTTCAACTTTTCATTTTTCTTGAAGCATCATCCAAAATCCATAATCCTCCAAGGATTTTCTAATATATGAAATCTTGAAAAACAATCTCCATACCAGTATTGGAGACGTGGCCCTGTCCAACACTAACATCCAGATCCGAGTAGTACTAGTTATTTTTCCTTTGAATATTATTGCAAATTAAAGTCTTCTTTGCTTGGGATTTGATATATTGGACTTGTTGGCTTCACTTGATGTGCTAAATATTCATGCTCAATGGATATGGTCTCAATGCGTTCATGAAGATGACTAATACTATTGTAATGTTCTTAGACGTGTTTACTAGATCGAAGATGGACTTTTTCGGGGGAGTCTTCTGCCGTGCGACAGAAAATCAAATGAAGCTACATGATAAGCTTCCTTCACTGGTGTCTTATACGTATGATGATGGTAATGCCAATACGAATAGCAGTGAGGCTGCTGATATGGATATTGACATGATAGGCGGAAAGATATTAGGGATTCCTAATATGGTTCTTTCAAAGGTATCGACACAGGAGTTCAATAAACAAGTTGCAAAATCTAAAGTTTATGTGGGTTGAAACTAATTGAGAATTGTATCTTGTATGTTTCTAACAGGTTTCGGCCTATCATTCGATAAATGATCCTTCAGCTGCTTGTCTTCCTCTGTGTATGTTGGAAGAGGGGAGAGAATTTGGACCTGAAGTTAAAACCGAAGTTCACGAGGATGAAAAAACCCTTCAAAAGGAGAGAGCTCGGCAAGGATGAATCTCAAATTGCTGGTTCAGAGGTGAAAACTGAAGTTCAAGAGGTGGTAAATGATTGCACAGCTGCCTGTCCTTCCCTTTTGTTGAATACAAGTATAAAACTTGGAATGCAAATCAAAACCAAAGAACGTGAAGGAGAAAACTCGGATGAAACAAGAGAGAAAGGCTTGGGAGGATTATCACATCTTAGCAAGGGTAAATCTAAAACGGTTGGTTCCTCCAACGATCTTTGTACTGTAAAGGACGAAGTTGAAATGCATGCGATATTGCCTGGCAATACAGAGACATCATTATCTTCAGCACTTTTGCAGCAAATATGGTGAGGCTGAGTGTAGCAGGGAGGTCTCGAGGGAAACCTGGTGCTGCTAGTGTTGCGGGACTGATTCGTGATGGATCCGGAAGGTGGATTGTTGGTTACAATCTTAATTTGGTGGTCTGCAATTTCTTAGCAGTGGATTTGTGCGCACTATATCAGGGAATAAAGCTTACTTGGGATAGAGGGTATAAAAAAGTTCGGGTCGAGTCCGACTCTGCTGCTGCCGTGATGAGTTTAAAGAAAGCCCCATCTCATCAAAATCCTAATCGAGCCCTCATTGAAAGCTGCCGTGCACTTATCAACGGTGAGTGGGATTGCGAAGTGTATGACATCCGAAGGGAAGAGAATCTGTGCGCGGAATGGTTAGCTACTCATGCTGACGGCTGTCAGCTTGGATTGTCTGTCATTAGTTTACCACCATTGGAGCTAATTCCACATTTGGAAGATGATTATAAACGTGTTGGATGGATTTGTTGATTCTCCGTCTGGTACTTGAACCACATTTGAAGACGCTGGTTCAAGAATATATAGGCCAAATACTTGTGTTCATTTGTAAAGCCTCTGTAGGTATTAACCAACGTCCTATCTCGTACTAACACCCATCATTTTGAGGAAAAACCGAAGGTCCAAAGCGACATCGGATCGTATGAGATTTTTATTTTGATATCCGTTTTATATAATCCCTTTTAGTTGTTAAATTGTTCTATTTTTGGCGTAATGACTAATTAAGTATTTTTCATCCTCACTTTTTAATTAAATTTAACCTTCAACATTACAACGAGTCGAATTATTTCTTAAACATAAATCTTAAATTTTACAATAAAGGTAACTACTCACATATTAGCTTATGTATGTATTATGCTAACATAATATTATGTCTCATATACCACGTTAATAAATAAATTAAAATTTATAAAATATTTTAAAAAAAGTAACATGAAACATACTGTAACTTTCTCCCCGTTGTATTTCTTCCAAGAAAAAAAATACTGAAATAGCAAATCATTCTACCCAACTCAAAGCATTAACAAATTACAAAATCTCATTTCTATCTTCTAAAAATTGGCAAGAATAAAAGGAACATCAAATATTAATAAAAAATGAAAAAGAAAAAGAAATTCCCAAAAATGTCACTCGAGCTCGGCAGAACGAGTTTCGTCGATGGATTTTGAGCCGTTGAGGTAGCACATCTACAGTGTTAGGATGAACGATCATTTTATATATGCTAATAGATATTGATAGAGAATACCATAAAGTTATCATCGGAATTTCAACGAAGTATGACCGCTGTCACCCAAATGCTTGTGTAATTTATTCCCGCCATGTTTACAATATGATTAGATTGTAGCATGAAAGGTGTGATGCAAATGCTTCAAACTTATTATATATTTTTTTCTTTTTGAAAAGGAATGGTTATCAGAATAGAGTATCTACATACTTTGATTGAAATTCTTCTCCACATGTCTCACATACATTGCCGGAATGCTTCGCCGTTGCCTGCATGTTAATGTGTATTAGAGGATTTCTACAACCAGTACTCATCAAACCCGAATTATAAAAGTATCGGAGTGAAAGCTGGAGTGTAGCGATAGATGGTAGGCATCCCTTGTACGTTTATGTCCGGTTATCTTATGAGAAAGAAGTGCTCAAAGGTTTCTAGTAGAACCGGTTAGATAATCCGTCATTTAAAGTTTTCCATCGCTCTTCTAATGCCATGTTCTTCCCCTGCTAACTAATTTTGTACTGCTTGGCAAGGATTACTATCATCAGCAAAGTCTCCGATCCTAAGATATTTATGGCAATATTACATGCATGATACCTATTGTTCGAACTAGTCAATCAACTAAAAACCTTTTGTGTGTATTCGAGCATGTAAAGAAGCAAGCAATTATGTAGTTCCTTCTTCCTTATATTCTATCCATGTACTACATATGTACATGCAAGCACGCATTATATATATATGGAGGTAACCAGGTCTCATTTCATCAAAAGAAATAACAATAAAAATGAAAATGCATACCTTTGCTTTCTTTCCTTTGGTTGATTTATTCGATTTGGTATTGAGTTCTTTCTTTGTATTCCCTTTCCTATCAAGAGGTTGCTTTGAAATATTGGCATTGTTCCCTAATTTATCATCCTTTTCACCATTACTGCTCTCGTCCTCTACAGGTTGCTTATCCACATGCAGAGAATCACTTACACTAGCTTCTTCATTCTTGCTTTCAGCTTCATTTATGTCGCTCTTCATGGCATCACTGATATTCTTCTTACCCTTATCTTTCTTCCCTGATCTGTTTCTTCTCCTGTTTTTCTGTCTACCATATTCCATATATTCTTCCTCATCGGTTTCATCCTTGACATGGAGTCCAGTCTGCGAAACCATATCCTCGCTGTTGAAAGAAACATTTTTCTTATCTTTCAGGCTGGACAGCATTTCTTCAAGAACACTAATTTCTTCAGCATGATTGTTATCGCTATCGAATTCAACACGCTCTTCACTCACTTGGTTAACATCAAAAAACGTGTCATCCTCCTCGCTTAGCTCACCAACTCCATCCTCCCCTTCCATTTCGATCTTTAGACTCTCCCTAAACCTCTCCTCCATGTCCGGTTCCACCTCCAAATCCCCTTCCTTTTCTTCCTCGTCGATAAACGACTCCCTCAACTCCGCTACTTTCTCCTTATGCTTCTTCGACTGCTCGTGATTCTTCCATTGCTTCTCACTCTTGAACTTCTTGCTGCACGCCACGCAGTAAAACTCTCCCTTCCTATTCCTTTCTCCTCCATCTCATCCCAATCTTCCTCTTCAACTTTCACCCATTCCGGCTCCTCGTACGCCTTAACTCTTTCCAACCTCTCCTCCTCCAACTTCTTTTTCCTATTCCTCTCCTCCTCTTTCTTCCTTTCCATCTCCTCCTTCCTCTTCACACCCATGTCAATAACACTCTTATCCCTCTTCTTTACAAACTCCGCCAGCCCTCGAACCGTCTCATTATACTCTCTTTTCGCCTTCTTCCGCAGCTTCTTGTTCTCTTCCTCCATAACCCGCCTCGATTTCCGGTTCGGCCCGGCCATAACATCATACTCGTCAACCCAAACAAAATCCATAACAGTCGAAAACCCCAACCAATAGTTATAAAAAGCCGTAACTTGAGTGTACGGGCTGGCTCTATAAATTCCCCATCAAAGGAGCTTCTTTTACAATATCCAACCGTAACCCTAACTTCCTAACGAAGTTAGTTTCATTGGCATAAATCTTCGAGAACAGTTCGGAATAAACCTTGTAGAATCCCCGACCCTTGTCGGAGTAACCCGAATAGACGGTGTTGGAGAAGAAAGAGAAGAGGTCGGGGATGGGGGAGTTGTGTCGTTGCGATCGGCGAAGAGGATTTGGGAGCAGTGAGAGTCGTACCAGGAGCGTTCTCTGGGATCGGAAAGGACTTCGTAGGCGCGGACAAGCTCTTGGGATTGGGCGGTGCCGTTGGAGGGCTAGCTTCTTGTAGGCGGATCGGATTTCGTCTTGAGAACAGTCGAGGTATAGGCCTAAAACCTCGTATAGACAATGCTTCTCGGCCGCCATTAGAGGATCAGAGATTGAAACCCCACCCCCCCCCCCCAAACGCCTCCTTTGTTTGGATTATTATGTTGTAATTCTGGAGGGTTAAAGGGTAATCGTGGTGTACGATAGTTGTCGTAACCGGTTTTCGTCCGGGCACGAAATATTAAATTTGGCGGGGAAATTGATGTGAATAAATAATTTTGAAAATAATTTGTGAGTCGCCATCGGCCTTTTGGATCAGGTAGGTCGAATACCTAAAAATTATCTTTTAAAAGAGTTTTTAAGAAAACCATTTTAAAAGATGAACTGATCTGCGTTTTATAACCAAAAATTCATTCTTTTTAATAAAAAGGGATTCGTAGTCGGTTACGTTTAGGGAAGGATTAGCACCCCTACAACGCCCAAAATTGGTACTTTTTAATTATAAATTGTCTCTATTATTAAAATTTAAAAAAAATTCAAAAATATATTTAATTTATAATTCTATTATTTAAAAAAATATTTATTTATTTAAAAATATCTAAAAAGAACTTCTAGGTGCCTTAAGACAGCTCTTTTCTTTGATATTGATAAATATTAATTTAAATAATATTGTTTACTTTTTAATTTTAAAATATCAGAATAGGACATCCAGTTGTATTAAGACTGTCCTTTTCTTCGATATTTTAAAAAAACAAATATTAAAAAAAATATTTTATATGTATATTTATGAATATATATAAAAATATTTAACAGTATAATAAAATAAAAATATCACTAAAACAATATATTTTAAGCAATAAAATGAAAACATATAAAATAAATAACTAAATTATGAATAAAATAAAACTAAATCTAATTCCTAATTAATTGAAATTATAGGGATTAAATATTTTTTTCTAATTTAATAATTTAATGACCAAAATAAAATTATCTAAAATTCAAATTTTATAATAAAATAAATTAAAAGTATGAACTAGGGACTAAAAAAATTATTTATTAAAATTAAGGGATTAAATCTGTCATTTATCCTAAATATATTATTTTAATTAAAAAGACTAAAATGAATAAAATTAAAATTCAAAGACCGAATTAAAATTCTTATAAATTCAGTTTAGTGACCAAAATGTAAAGTTTACAAATATGAAGGACTGCGGAATGGATTTAACTATTT